GATTAATCCGAGCTCTTCATAATTGAAACCAAAATTGTCCGAAAAAAACCGCAATTTCCATGAAGTGAACATAGTAGGCCTGTTCTAATGGAAACTCTTCCCAGATCGAAAGACTTAGATAAGGAGAACTGAATCGATTAAAAAGTTATAGATTAAAAAGAAACAACCTGTTAAAAGACTGTTGACTTTTTGTGATGAAGGGTTCCAATTTTAGTCTTAGTTAGAGTCGTGTCCTGAAAAATAAATATCAAATAAAATCCGTGTAAATTATTGTTTTTAATCCGTTTTTCATAATAGCTGTCGTTAATTCTTAACGAATTATACAATCGTCTATAGATGTAATTATTTAAATTGTGTTTGGGCCACGAACCAATCGAACGAAGAAAACGCTGACTTTTCCCCCTTTCAGAAGAACATAGATAGAGGTGAAGCTTCACGTTGGGTGAGAATACCGGATCAGTATGAAACATTGTATTTCAGTGTAATTCAGATAAACGTATGACGTATGATATAAGAAAAAAAAAACAAAAAAAATCTGTTTGAACAGCATAAAGTAAACATGAACACTGAACACTTTAAGGGATCATCTTACGTTACAAATTTTAAAATAAATGAAAAGCAAGCAGAAAATAATAAAATCTCACAAAAAAATAAAAAAATTCAGGATAGAAAAAGTGAATAAAATTGAAGCAGGTAGGTACAAAGTAAGCTGGAGCGATTCCATTCCCTGGTCAAGTTGTAGATAGAGTTATGCTGCTCACTCACAGACAACAAACCAGAAAATAAACCAGAAAACAATAAAAAGGGGGAAAAAATGGAGAAATGAAAGAATAAATACAAATATGTTCAGTGTTACGACTATACAAACCCATTCCCTGGTTAAGCTGTACAGCGATGCTGCTCACTGACGACAAAAACCAGCAAATGAGTGTATATGTCGTTTGGTTAAGCAAGACAAAAAACAGAGTAGGATAATAAATATAACATAACGAAAACACACTCCATAAAAAAAAGCATTGAATTGGCATTGAAAAGGAAGTTAAGAAACAGTAAGTAGAGTTAGTCACATAACTGAAATACACAACACCAATGCAGTTCATATAATAGTTGAACGAGCGTTAAATACAAAGAGACCATATAGTCGGACAAATTCTATGATCTACGAATGAATATAGGGGAAAACTTACAGACACAAAACTTTAAAAAGTTATCAGTAAAAGTAAACTTACCGTTAAAAGTCCATAAGTTGTATACCAGAAGTGTCCTCCAGACCTGCAACGAATACCTTGATTTAATTCTTTCGGACGCAATTACAGCATCTTATTTTTTAGATGACGGGGGGGGGGGGGGGGGGGGGGGGGGGGCAAATGCTGAAAGGAAGAGGGCAGGGCAAAATCTTGCGGACGTCATGTCCACCATTGTCCTTTTGGATTCTATGAGACAAGCGGACATAGACGGAGGTGGCACACCCCCATATGTGGACGCTCCCTTTTTTAAAGTATAATCAATTCCCCATTCAATTTTACACTCGTTTAACTAGGTAGTGAGCCATCGACAGTGAGCCGCGCGTGCCGACTGTAGGATGGTTTTTTAGCGCTAATTTCGGCCAGCACAAAATTCTAGAAACAAATGCGTATTGATTAACCTTCCCTTGATCCAATTTTAACAAAAATTGGTTAGCTTACTTATAGACTTACAAGGAAAGTGTCCGGAAAATTTAAAGCATATTCAACCATCAGACATTACTTTAACGATGATTTTTTGAATGATTGATATTATGGATGATTGGATAGTCTAGTGCCCCCTCCTTCACAACTAGTATGCATATATAGAAAGTTATAATAAACTTATAATAAAAAAACGTAAAATAGGACGACATCACCACTTAATGACGACGTCAAGACGTCAAGGTTTTTCAAAATTTAATGCCATTTCAAGTTCAAGAATTAGGAAAACTAACAGGAATTAATTTTAAAAATCCTACCGGATTAATAACTGTATGTTCCTTTGATAGCAAGTAGACTCCACTTTGTTTGAAAGAGAAGTAGGGCTGAAACAGTTATTAATATTATTGTGCGTATAATATTAATATGTGTCTAATTAATAAGGTTTAAAAATAAAAATCTTCTCTTTTTCATTTAACTTTGAGTGCGCCAAACACTAACGATGTATTCAATTTAGTGCAGACAAATCCGTCACATAAATTTGGATTTCATGAATAAAGTATTTTTTTTGGTAATTATCTAATTAATTGATTATCAAATGCACAAATTTTATCATTTAAAAATTCAGCATTTTGAGAAAGGAGGTAAAAAGCATAATTAGTTAATACGCACTTAACGTACTTTTAATTTAAGCAAAATTTCGAACTTTTTGTTGCGTCAAATAGTGATTCTTTAAATAGCATTCATTTCCAAAAGTAACAGTCAGTGCCTGTTCACTCATTTTAACGTAAAATTCTAGTTTGGGTCAATAGATGAATTTTTCTGACGGATCTGCCTGTACTAATTACGAAACGAAATTGTTCGTAATTTTTCTATTAAAATAAAATCAGAATTAAATGAAGCGTGAAGAAAAAGTCTTTGAAAATATTTTCAAAAATTGTGTACTACTTACTTTTTTTAATAAATGGAGTCAGAATCAGGAGCAGGAGTAAAGCAGGAGTAACACAGACATATTTCGCCTATACTGAGAGATGAAGTGGTTAGACGATATTATAGAAGTAAACGTGAAAGCGCAATGACACGTGACCAGAAACGCGCAGAAATAATGGCCCTAGAAAGATGAGGCAAAGAGTCCTTCTGGCAGGCAGGAAACTATGTTTTTCTGCAACACGTGGTTTTACTTTGTAGGTAGTGTAATATGAACTAATTTGCTTCACCGAATCGACGTGTCATTTGTTGGATTTTGAATTTACCTCCCTGATCGAGTTAATAGATCGATCATTTTTTGAAATAGACGCTTGAGGCAGTCCTCTACACTAATTTAAAACATTGTCAGTCTCTCAAGGGCTCCAAATTAAACACAATTACCACAATCAACACATAAATAATCGACAAATTGTGTCATACTTTCATGTGGATCAACTTAAAACTTTTACAAAGTGTTGGATAAGTTAAAATCATGGTTGGTTCGTTAATTTCTACAAAAATTAATAAAAAGATCACGTGCCTCATTCTTCCACATTTATTGGGTATCTTGCAGGGACAAAGTATAAATCCCAATGAAGTCAGACTTTGTTAATTTGCTGTTTTATTATTGCCCTACTCTTGTAATGGCAGAGCTTCGTGGAAAGTAGTGGAAATGGACAGATGGACGAAAAGACGGACGGACAGACAGCCAGATTCAAAAATGGATACCTAGAGGCACGAGAGTTTTTTGTAGAAATTAAAGAGAACGCTGCGCTAAGAACGAGAGTTCTTAGCGCATTTTTGTAGAAATAAGCAAATTTATCAAGTATCATTTTGCATATTATATAAGAAGGTAAACAAGTTTTTCCAATTAAACAATCAGACAAAATAAAAATGAATGGGTATGAATCTTCGAACTAGCTGCATCATATCTTGATAATCCATCTGAATCTGATTAACATGTTACGAATAATCGTCAGTAGCATATCAACCTGAAGTAAAAAAAAGTAAGAGACCAAATGGGTTGATGGGTTGACCGTATTAATTAATGAAATTATTTTCACGGACTTCTAAAGGTAGGTTCTAAAGTCAGTTTACATACGTTGGGCCTTTAATTCAAGGAACATATCTATACTCAAAGAGCTCGCTGACTGTAAGGGAGAATGTATATCCGTATTTCGCTGCTACTGATGCTGTCCTTGATCTTGCAATCAAGGCTTCTCCGTTTTTCGTCTAACTATGTACTGTTGGGCTTGTGGAACTCGTAGGGGGGGGGGGGGGGGGGGGGGGGGGGGGGGGGGGGGGGGGGGGGGGGGGGGGGGGAGGAGGGGGTAGGGTTCAAGAGTGGTTAGGATCAGTATGTGGAGCCTTCTGTTTTGCTGTATAGCATTTTGCTGAATAGCATTTTAGTCACTCCACAGTTTATTAACTGTGTCTCAACTCTGTTGATTTGATATTGAATGGGCGTGATCTGAAATATTCGAATGTCAAGTTTTGGCAAGTTTTGTCAAGTTTCTACAAGTCTCAAATATTAAACACAGCGGTGGTATAAGACTCAACGTATGACCCCCCCCCCTGCAGTAAATATTGATTTCCCTTTTTCAAATTTAAGAATTTTCAAGATTTACATAATATATATGTTTCAGTTGCTTTTTAAACGATTTTATCTCAGATTATGATGTTACAAAGAATAAAGAGGATCTAGTCAACACTCAGTAGAAGTACTGCTACAATATACTATGTATAGTGCCATTTTTATGACACTACGAAATAAATTATAAATCCGCAGCAACCGTGAGAGATATACATTTTTTGGCATAATACAAGCATTTAAGGGCTTATTTTAGATGCTAGGAATCATTTAAACTGATTTGTAGTGGCAAACTTAACAGGATATATTAATGCGGGTGTAAATTAATCGCGATCTAGTTTATCACAGTGAACAGTATTTTGGTCGTTATTAAGAACTTCTGCTCCACGAGACTACCACGAGGTAGATGCTAAAAGCATCACCACGAGGTTAGTCAATTCGTCAGTTTTATTTACCTTTTCACGCAATTTTAGCTGCGCGCGCTACATGTATACAAATTTCACATGTGATGTGATAAAAATGTGACCGATGTGGGACATTACAAATTTGGATATCCTATTTAGATCCACGATTTGTTCAACAATACTTTTATTAGAGGGATTCATGTCGTGTGGGCCAATTTTGAGTTAAGTGTATTTGATAACTTGTTTTACATATTAAAATGGTGTGCGTACTAAAGTCAATCCTATTTATCTAGCATCTTCAGGGCCGAAATCTTATTATGAAATCCGTGAGTGGGACACCGGAGAATAACAAATCAAACAGTCTTCCTTTTTAGTTTAAAATAGATTATCATAGTGTGGATACGAAATAAATTATCACAAACAATTCTGTAAACATTTAAAAAATCAAAATATTTCGTTCAGTCGTATACTATACATGTGATATATAATTTATCTCAAGGGTCTCAACAAACAATACAAGCGAGTAAATAACCGATAGAAGCCACGTTTACAGGTTGAACAATTGTTTAATTAACCGTTACAGAATGTTTAAAGTAATCCTCTAAATTTTATTAGTATAAATTAAGAACTAATACTATTGATATTTAATTTTGACTGGTCGAGAACTAGAGATGAGAAATAAAATTGTTATTGACTGATTCAGTTCTATAAACATAACATTCTCTATTATGTTCTATAAACATAACATTCTTTTAAATAATCAGCAGGGATAAATATAAAAATTTGCGAGAAAAAATATCTAATTAATTTTTAACCAAACTCGATATTTAATCAAATTAGCACAAAATTTAAATGATATATATTTAACCAAACTCGATATTTAATCAAATTAGCACAAAATTTAAATGATATATATATATCAACATGAAACATTCTGTTTGGGCAGTGGTTAAAAAGTTTGAATTGTTTTTTTCTCATTTGTAAATGTCCCTTTCCAACTTGTCAGGAAATCAGGCAGACAGACACATTTGTGTGGAAACCGGGTCAGACAGTTGGGCAGCAGATCTGAAGAAAATGTCAAAATTAATACACAATATTCGTTAAAATGTAAAATAACTATCAATTAATAAGACAGAATGACTACTTCATGAAGTAAGATATTTACATTTTTGAGCTATCTCTGATTTGGGGTTGATGATGTTGACGTCTACTCCAAGTGTTCGTCTATTACACGTCGTCTGTTAACTGCATTGTTATGGTGATTATTACCCTGAAGTAAATATGAACGATATGATAATATTAGTTAATTTTCTCAGCACAACAATTGATTTATTTAAGCGCTACAAGTTTGACCTGTAATGTCTTTAGATTAAATCCTCTCTGATCGAACCAACTTAAACTTATGATTTAGGATGGATATCATGTGACCAACTTGTAGTCTGTGCTCATGATACAGTAAAACCCCGAATATACCGCTGCTATTTACATTCCCAAAACTCCGCAGTAAATCGGGGTTTTAATGTACTTCAAATCAGTATAAATCATCTTGACCTGATACCATCTATAGCTCTATTCCACTTTTCCAGGAATAAGAAATTTTGTCTGTTTGGATTTGGAAAGAACAGAGTAAGAAGAACAAGAATATTTACATTTGGTGTGCAACTAGATATTTTGGAAATTGTTTATAATGTTATGTGTAAATAAGCGGCGTTGAAATGTGGAAACAATGAATCGAGGATTTTAGTGGAATGTAAAATGTATTTGGACAAGGTTCTTTAAGGAAGTGAACTAAGTTTGATTATTAGCTGTTGTGGAATTTGAAATGCCGTTAAATTGTTGAAATGACAGTCAATTAATTTATGATTCATTCACTTACAACCCTAAATAAATATAATGGCAACTTTGATAACACAAAAATTAAGGACAAGATAAAAAGCCGATTATGCCGCTCTGGGTGATATAATAATAATAATAACAACATTTTTTGTAGTGTAGGATTGTTCGAATTTCTATTTGTTAATTCATATAATATACACTTTATGATTGTTTCGCCCATTTTTCTTCCCTTGCATTGCAAGCCCTGTCTCTTGTAAAAACATCCACTTTTGTAGATACACACAGTCTCTACGTCTTTATCCTCTGGTCCCTAGGGTCAGCTGACTCCGGGCCAGAGGAAAATTACCGATTGCCAAGGTTTGATGCCTAGGCAGTCGAGACCTCTTATTGAGACCCGATATAATAATAACGCTTTATTTGTATACCGCTTAGGCCGTATAAGCGACCAAAGTCCAAAAAATGGAGTTGATACTGGCCAACAAAGCGGTGCAGATAAATTTACCTTAGTAGTCCCTTTTCTAATCAAAAATTCAAATTTATAAATTGTAGATTGATCTTAAAGTCCTGCGTCCATGACTACTGAATCACCAAAAATACTGTTCGCACATACAGGATAGGCTTGATGAAATAGATAGATATGAATCATTGCTATCAAGGAGATAAGAATACTCAGTAAATAGTGCGATAGTGTAATATATAGCGCTATATGGACGATAATGTCGAGAAATTCTAACATTTTTAACACGCTTCGACAATAAGATATACCAAAACAATAAGATATACCAAAAAACTAGTTGAAATGCAGTAAGCTGTAAAAATCTTACATATTTTCCGAATAACATTAACTTATGAAATGTCAAATTAATTTTATGGATAATCGGTACACACACATTAATTTTACGAACTATTCAAAAAACATCTGCAAACCAAACTTTTAACTCGATTTGATTTATTACCGCTACTTAATAAATCTCTGAAGTAAACTCAACTAAACTTCAGTTAAAATGCTAAAATGCTAATAATTAGCCACAGTAAGTGGGTGGTAACACTGAATACCTTTTGGGATAAGTTTTGGCAGGCAGACGAGGGGTGAAGGAGGAAGATGAGGGTGCACATTTTACCTATTAAAATGTAGATAGTGTTATTCGTTATTATATTAAATGTTAACTGTATGCAGTAAATTAATTAAAAGCAGTGTCTGGAATTGATGCAAATGATGTAAATGATGAATTATAAATATACGATTGTTGTTGAGTTTATTTCAAAATCAGACAATTACCAATTGATTAAAAGTCGTAAAAAGTATTATAAAAAAGTGGGATAAGTACAGTTACTAAGGATGCAGGGCCAATAATACTTTAACTTTAACTAAAATGTCTCTATCTGTATCATTGATAAAACAAAAACAAAATTTTAAAATATTCGACACCATCCAGAATAAATAGTTTAATTCTCATCAATTGTGTGTACATTGTACAATTGGTGAGAGCTATACTACCTTCACTTATTGAGGTACCAAAACCAGCATTTTATTGTATCAAACAATTACCAATTGATTAAAAGTATTATAAAAACGTAGGAACACAATAGTCAAATTAATACGTTATAATAATACGTTAAAATAATACGTTAAAATAATACGTTAAAATAATACGTTAAAATAATACGTTAAAATAATACGTTAAAATAATACGTTAAAATAATACGTTAAAATAATACGTTAAAATAATACGTTAAAATAATACGTTAAAATAATACGTTAAAATAATACGTTAAAATAATACGTAAAAATGGGGGGAAAAATGAAATAAAAATCAAACAAAATTCAACAAGCGTGCAGGGCGACTTTCATTTATAAAAAATGTAATCTGAAAATAAATATACAAGCAAGTATTTTTCATTTACTTACTACTTTATAAAATATATTTACAAATAAGTCCTGGTCGAAGTCAAGAAGGTTATGAATGATATTGATTATTGTTAGGTGTCGTTCACGTGGTATTACCAACGAGCAACTTAAGTATGGACAGGATGGGTTGGTTGATCAACGAGTTGTGTTGTTCAAGAAAGTGTGGGAAGATGAGAAGATTCCTGAGGATTTAAGGTGTTATTATCATCGTTGGAAAGAAGGGTGACACCTCTCATTGCGCTAACAACAGAGGCATTACATTAAAGATCCACAGCCTCGAAGCTCCTGCAGATGATACTCCTGCGGAGACTTAGCAATGGCATGGAAAAATTTCTCCGGGAGAATCAAAGTGGTTTTAGACAGAATCGCTCATATATTGACTCATCGCTCATATATTGACTCACATATTCACTCCACTGTATTATAATACACCAATGTATTGAGCATAATATCCCTCTGCATATCAATTTTTTTGATTTTAAAGCAGCTTTTGATTCGATTGACAGGCAGTTCATTTGGAGAAGTATGCAGCACTACGGCTTATCTGACAAGTACATTAGAATCATGAAGGTGTTCTTTGCTTACACAGTTAGTGCTGTTAGGGTCAATGGAGAGGTTTCAGGTTGGTTTGATGTCAACTCGGGTACTGGGCAAGGTGATATACACTATACAGGGACCACCAGTCTTCAACTTTTGTTTGAATTTATCGGCATACCTTATGGAACTGAACAAGGTCATTAGTAAGGGGGCTTTATTACAGCTGCCAGCCCCCGGGGTAGAAGAGAAACATCTCTTGGACAATGGACACTGATAACGCTGATGACATGGCCATGTTCGATAACTCAAAAGAGGGGCTGCAGGAAACCACAGACCTTCTCTGCAAATACAGTGCCTATGCGGGTCTGAAGATTAATGCTGGCAAAATAATAATATATGCAATATGTGAACGACCCCCAACTCACACTATCAGTAGTATTAACAAAATACTAAATATCTAAATCAGAAAAACAGTTCTCGTTCCCATGTCCAACATTATGATGTTCTCTTCCATCATAATTTTTAGATACTCAATTACCTCGTTCTCTTCGAGGTTAATTCTCGCAAGTATTCTGTCCAGCGGGAGATCTTCTATGTTAAATGTGAATATTTCACGAATAATTCGTTTGAATTCCTCTAAACTTTTCGTCCTTCGTCGTCCTTCTACCTAGATTTAGCATGAGTTAAAAAACACAGCATTATTAAAATTGATTTTATTAAAACGTTCTCATTAGGCATACACACACACATTCTATATTCTCATTCATTATTCATTATATTTACCAGGTATGCCTTGGAAAACACTAGACTAGGGGAATTTAGTTGAGTTGTGTAATATTGTAGGGTATTGTATTGTTAATTTGGACTCGATGCTTCCCCCTGGTAATGCGATCTCGGAAGGCAGGCCTCCCCTTTGCGACACGAAAACCACTTTATGAAATCTTCTGTCCGAGTTTTTTTCCCCAAAATTTTTAGAAACCTAAATAATTTTGGCCCCTTGTCCAGATTAAATGGTGAGGGGGAGGGCCAGGTCATATAACAGCTGCACCGAAATCGGAATTACGACAACTGAACCCAACGATCGGATTTTCAGGTTCTCCTTCTTTGCAGGGGACTGTGGTCATTATCACTATATAATAGAGCATTGGAGCCCGGTTAATATTAATAAGTGGAGAAAAAAAGTTAAACTTTGTTTTCTCCGCATTTGGTGAATCGTTTTGTTGCTTCAATTATGAAGGCGATAATCCTTGGTAGTGAGAAATTATCCACTATGTCTGTCACATCAAGGTAGAAGGAGTCAAAGTATCCTCCTCGTTGGTAAGACCACTTCGGGTACTGGCCAATAAAGTGGTTCATTGTCTCCTCTTCCATGACTCCATACTCGTCTGAAATGAGTGTGCCTTTTTCGGTAAGAGAGTCTGCATTTTCGTTACCTGTCAGGTTACTTGGCTCAGATTATTTTGCTCAAATGTCGTGTCTTCTGATGCTTTGGGAGGGCCTGCCATGGTTCAGATCTTGAGCCTTGGGTCGGATCTCGATGCTAGAGGAGCAGTGGACAGTATCATTTTGGCACGCTTCGTGATAATCGTGAACACGTAAGC